TTCTTTTGCGCGTTGTCTCAAGGACACGCCCACAATATGGGAACATAATGAATATTCATGTTTACTCCACCCACTGGAACAGTTTTTCACAGGAACTGAATATTACACAACACCGGTCTCATGAAAATGCAACCCGATCTCATACATTTTATTAGGCCACAGATACATTTGTAGAGGTTTATTTCAAGCACTGATGTAAGCACACTGCAGTACTAGTCACCTATGACAACTAGGTAGGCTACTAATCAAACTATTCACAATAAACTATTTGTCTCACAAATGAAATAAAAAGCTCAGCACATCAAAGAGTAAAAATTATATTAGCCTGGTTAATGGTTAAGCACAGGTTATTCGCTTCTTGTTTGCTCTGCTGTGTGCCTGTAATCATTCAGGCAGAACAGCTCAGACGATTTATCATATTACACAATATATGCATTGTTTTGACACTGTTGCAGTTAATTCTTCACATCGAAACTTCGTTACCTTTTCGAAATAGTGCACGCTTTTCAACTCTATTTTCGGTGCCATTCGTTTGAGCGTTGTCTCAAGGACACGCCCACAATATGAGAACTAATGAATATTCATGTAGCTCCACCCACTGGAACAGTTTTTCACAGGAACTGAATATTACACCACACCTGTAGGTCTTGAAGGACTGGCTATATACAAAATAAACAAGAAATTAAGAATGACACAGACTAATTTATATAAATTTTATCAGGCCACAGATACATTTGTAGGCCTAGAGGTTTATTTCAAACACTGTTGTAAGCACACTGCAGTACTAGTCACCAATAACAACTAGGTAGGCTACTAATTAAACTATTCAAACAAAAAACAATTCTCACAAATGAAATAAAAGTCTAAACACATCAAAGAGTAAAAAATATATTAGCCTGGGTTAGCACAGGATATTCGCTTCTTTTTTGCTCTGCTGTCTGCCTGTAGAACAGCTTAGACGATTTATCATATTACACAAACTATGCATTGTTTTGACACTGTTGCAGTTAATGCTTCACACTGAAACTTCGTTACCTTTTCGAAATAATCCATTAAACAAGTTGCGATTTGAAGAGCATGCACTAATATTTTCAGTTCCATTCTTTTGCGCGTTGTCTCAAGGACACGCCCACAATATGGGAACATAATGAATATTCATGTTTACTCCACCCACTGGAACAGTTTTTCACAGGAACTGAATATTACACAACACCGGTCTCATGAAAATGCAACCCGATCTCATGAAAGTGAATAATGCAAACACTTTTATCCAAAGCGACTAACAAATGAGGACAATAGAAGCAATCAAAACCAACAAAAGAGCAATAATTTACAAGTGCTATATTAGTATATTATTATAGTGTTATATTTCAATTTCACAAAGAAACGTATAGTATTTTGTCCAAGCAATAATAAAAGGACACATTTCATTTATAATTTGTCTTAAATCTTATTCTGTTAAAAAAAATCGTGAATCGAATCGTGAAATCAAAATCTTGAATCGAATCGTGAGTTGAGTGAACCGATACATCCCTATTGATAATTAAGTAAACTGGGAATTGAAACAGTTTAAGTTAATTAAGCACAATACAATAGTGTTTTGGTGGGAAACGAAATATAGTTGTGTTGTTTGAACAAAAAATATCTGAGTTAAACGAACAGTGCCACAAAACAATTTTTTTGAGTGTACACCTATGGAGGACCAAACCTGCAGAAATAAAAAATAAATAATAAATACACAAATAAATAAATAAATGTGTATAAATAAATAAATACACAACTAAATAAATAAATGTGTGTATAAATGCACGTATTCTTGTTTAAATACGTATATAAATTATTAAACGTGTGATGAAATATAGGCCTCTACATTTATTTCTGAATGTAGTCCCGCATTTATTGTTCCTCTGCACAACATGCTAATGAGAGGGTGTCAACCATGGACTTGGTCGGGTCTTGTGATAGCTGGGGGCGTGGCTTTCCCGCTGACAGGAGATGCATGGTGTAAATCCAGTATAGCCTAGTAAAGTCACTTTTGCCGTTCAACAGAGCAAGATACATAGAAAAACTGGGCCGTATTGTCCGTACAGTATCTGTGACTTTACAAACGACCCAACGGAATGGCCAGAGGTGTCATTTCCCGGCATTCAATATTCGCAAATCTAGGGACCGTCTCTAAAGTTATACATACGACATTGGTATACACTTTTCTAACTTCAATAGCATTTGAGGAAAATTACTTACAGTAACACAACCAACTATGAAGTGGAGCACGTAAAAATCTATTCATATATGAATCATGATTCTGTCTTCTAATGGCATATCTAAAAGTATGAGACAACAACAAACAAAAATCTTAGGCCTACCATTAAAAGCCGCACTTACACATGTTCTGCACGATCCTCTTCAATAATATCCTCTGCATCTCAATCGGGCTCAAATTGATAAGCAATATAGACAACGTCATTGTTTACAATACAACAACCGGAGCACATGCCGCTGAAGTGAGGGGCGGGACGTTTAGACTCGCGCTAGAAGTGGTTTAGCCAATCACAACACACTGGGCTAGCTAACCAATCAGAGCCCATTGCCTATTTCTGAGGGAGGGGCTTCATAAAAGCAGGAAATGATCAGTGCGTTCAGAGGAGAAGGGACAGAGAGGTGTGGAATAAAGGTAAATTATGTGAAAAAGAATGCGTTTTTTAACAAACAAAGCATTAACACATGTTAGACTGCACCCCATAAACACAATCAAGCCTAGAAAAAAAAACAGTCAACCACCCCTTTAAAAAAACTGATGATTTAAATGTTTAGAATTCACATTCATGCATTATTAACAAACAGAAAATTAATTAATACAGTATTAACGGTCTGCTATGAACAAGAAGCAATTGTATTGTATCTTTTATAGGCTAATCACTTATAATCAGTCCTCTAGGTGCAGCTTTTCCAAAGTTTAATACGGATCAGAATAATCGAAATAATCCCATTTTACAATTCAGCATCAGGTCATCCATCTCACTTTTGTGCTGGTTTTTAAAGCATCACTGGATTGGATCTGATCCAGATACGAACACTGGACATCTACAATTATTCATTACACAATTTATTTCTAAATGTAATTGACCACATCTGTGTTTTATACTGTATTAGTGTTTCAAATGAAATCAAATTTACATTTACATAAATCCTGCTTTGGGTTTCCTTTAGACTGATATTTATATCCAAATTTGACTTGAACAAAATATTTGATTTGTTCATTAAAACTCACATAAACATGGTACATAAACATGCTTTTCCTTTGAATTGAAGTGATCTTTTCATAATCAATAACTGAAATAATCAAATAAAGAGTTTTAACTCAATATAGATCAGTGAAAAGTCTCATATACTGAATTAATAAACACACAACAGAATTATTCACACTCAACATTTTATTTTCTTAATACTAATACTGTAAACTGAAAATACTGTGATGCATTTCCTGGTATTAGCAGTGGTTTATAAACAAGCAAAAGCTGAAGGAATGAAATGTTTAGACAGTAAGATCATCTGTAAGTCCTGTATGAACACAGAGTATCAGAGCACTGCAGTCTCCAGAAAAACACTGAATTCAGAGCACAGTTCAGATATCACACTCACATCTTATCAGGTGACAGATTTAAAAACTAAATATAATACTGTCTATATTTACAATACAAAATATTTAAGCATGAACACTTCAATAAAGCACAAATATGTGCGATGTAACAGCGCAAGAGCATCAATTAAAAACCAACAAGAATTATAGCATATATATATTTTTTAGCTTGAGATTACTTCTGCATAATCTTGCAGGTGTAACAACAATCAAGCTATCTCACAGTGTAACATCACTGATTGAAGGATCTGAGGATCCTCAAATGCAAACTGTGTGTGTTTTGCTTTAAGAGAGCAACCATACATTTGTGTTGTGTTTTTCTTGCTTTCTTTTATATTCATTTATTCTTCATTCATTCATTTATAATCATTTTTATTATTCAATTTAATCATATAATCATTTATATAGCCATGATTAGTACTATATTATTATATTACATTATTGTTTTTTATAATATTTTTCCATTGTTGTTTAGTCTTATGACTGTGTGTTTCAAGGGCTGTTTGTCTTCATGAATAAGAGATATGAGGAATGTTTATGGAAACTCGAGGTTTATGGGATGTTGTTGTGAATCAATACTTATATAACAATACTTGCTGGATTTGTGCTGGTCAGACGAAGTCTAAGCACTGAAACATACACAACTAAGACTATTCAATAAACTCTGCTCCTTTTATCATCACTTCGTCTCCTGCTTCTGCACTTCTCTGGCTTTTCCCTCAGTCAACTTCTTGGCTGATAGAAGACTGTTAATACAGTTTTGGGTATTTTGGTACCAGACAAGACTTGCTGTTAACAGGTTTTGGGTATTAGACTACTTCACTGAAGAGTTGTTCGGTTGCCACACAAAACAGATATTTTCTGAAGGGATCTGGCATCCGGGGCTGGATCTTAATTATCTGGCGTGGAGGCATGATCTAACAATATGGACTAAATATAGACTTCATCACATAAAGCAGAATATACAGCTCTGCTTGTTGATCTAGTTGCTACTTTGTGTCTCAAACAAAACTCAAGATTTGATGTCATGACCTTTGTATCAACCTGGTACCTTGTAAGCAGATGGACTGTGCTCTTACTTTCAGAAGCTGAATAAAGCAGTCAATCAGATCAGACGGAGAACTAAGTGTTTTTCCAGTAATATTAGTCTGTGCTGACGCTGCTATGCATGTATCTATCCAATCTTACTAGACTTAACAGTTGCATTATTAAATGACAAACCTTTTTCTTGTACCGTTCTTAAATTGCACAGTGTGCAGATAGGTTTATGATGTATGATCCTGCAGATGTTTCATGCTGTATTTATAATTATACAATCATTTTACTATTTATCTTTGTATTATCTTTGTCAAACCTCTAAGACTCTTTTTATGTTAGTTTGGAGATAGTTTGGAGTATTTCTATATTAATGGGGTTTCTTCTGTAATGCGGTTTAATATTGAATATCTTTAAAGGCATATCACACTCCTACAAACACAAACATGCAGAAAAAGCTGTTGAGATCAAACTCTATCATAATATCTGCAGAAACTGTGTTAAGTTTGAGTTTTCTACAGACACACAGAGATGCAGCTTTATGCAGACTTTTAGTTTTTTTTTTTCACAATTACATAAATTGTGTATGATACTTACTTTGTCTTTCTAGTTCAGAGCTGTTGCGCCGGCGATAGTACATCACAACAGCAGCTATAACTAATGCAGCCACCAGAATAACACCAACAGCAACACCAATCCATACTCCAGCAGCTCGAGGCAGACCTGAATATGGAACAGCTAAAGAGAGACAGTCATTAGTGTGAAAGTGTGTCTGATCTATAACACACACTAGAAACATCAGCACTATAACATGAGTGAAGAACTATTACTGTAATGATAAAGAGAGACAGAGATTAGTGTTACTGTGTCTGATCTATAACAAACACTAATATAGGTGCAAGCAGCGATGACAAGACCAAGCTCCGGCGCCACCCCCGCCGATGGCTTCAGAAAAACTGTGCACATCTATATTTGTTACATTCAGCTACATGCTTTGATCATGTGTTTTCTGTGGGGCATAAAGTTATTCTTTCTGCAGGGGACGCTTCACGGTTCAGAAAAAAATAATTTTACTGAACCACATGAAATATTACAAAAACTGTAGTTTTACTGGAGACATTTGTACACTAAAAAACAAAATATTTAACTGTATTAACTGTATATTATTATATTATATAAATTATATCATATACAGTAGGCCCCTATGATATATAATATAATTATACAGAATGTAATAACATTAAGATAATAACACCCCCGCCCCAACCGGAACGTGAGGGAGAAATCACTAAATCTACTCACCACGAATATCAATATGGAATTTCTTGACCACTTTCCCAGTAATTTATTAAAGTTATTGAAGGTGAGAACTCCAGTCTGAGTATATTCAGATGAATATTGCTCCATCTCGCATCACCCTCTAATCCATTAACTTGCTTAAGCCCATCAACAGTCCCAAAGTTTGTTAGTTCACATTTACCGCATGCTATTACTATCAAACTTTATAAGTTTCTTCAATTTTGACAAACATCAAGTCATCCGAAAGTTTAAAGACTCAAGCATTGGGATTTATTATCATAATGCCATTGCAATATCATCCCTTTTATTCATACCAAGAGTTTGCATCAAAATACACAACATTGAAAGAGCAAGTTTTGCCCAGTGACGAACAAATTAAATCATGCAAACATCAGTGCTGATCTTGTGTTAATCCAGAACACCAAATCAGATTTTTTTTCTATCTATCTATCTATCTATCTATCTATCTATATCTACTACTTCAGTCTTACAAAAATTATAACCCCGCCCCCAGCGTTCTTTGTGCAGCTCTGATTGGACAGTCATTCAAAACATTCTAACAGCACCACCAACAGATGTGAAGTCTAACTATGCACAGACTATAATATTCACGGCACACAATCAGCAACTGTAAAGTTTTAATGAAAGAAAATATGGCCAACAAAGAACTACAGAGATCATAGTTTGTATTTCACAATCATCCTCAGCATAGAAGTTTGTATTTAGAAACCTTATTCATAGCCTTGACAAATATGCATTAAGTTATTCAAGTGCCACTAGAATCATCAAAAAGAATTGCAAAAATAAGAACAGTTAAGAGAAAATGACACTAGGTGATAGCAATGATGTGATCATCATCATGTGGTGGCCTGCTCTCATCCAGAGTCCAATCTTTCATAGGAGAGGTGATGTGTTCATAATTTCACATAACTGATTACAGTAACAGCCCGAAATCTAGTGCTATTGTGACAATGATATTCTGAAGGATTTTAAAAACATGTTCTGCACAAAATGTTTTTTCAGATGCTGCATTATTCAGATCAATGGTGTCCAAACCTGTTTCTGGAGACAGGACACTGTCCAGCAGAGTCTAGATCCAACCCTAATTAAACACACTTGTACCAGCTAATCAAGGCCATCAGACTTATTAGTCATTAAACTAATGAGACCACTGCTCTGGGCCCGTATTCACAAAACATCTTAAGGCTAAAAGTAGCTCGTAACTTGCCGATTTAGGAGAAAATCTTAAAAACAATGGGCGTGTCAGTCCTAAATTTAGGACTCCTAAATGTTTTATCTAAAAGTATTTCACAAAGCATTTTAGCTCTAAAACTAGCTCCTAAATCTGTGAAACATTAGGAGTAGTGAAGAGGAGTCCTGAGTCACTAAGACCAAGCCACAAACTATCTTAAAATGGCTGTTGCCGGCAATCTGCCTCTGAATGTAAACATTTTAGAAATATTTTACTATAATGAGCTTTTAAAGGGGTCATATGATGCTATTTTAAAGATCATTATTTTGTGTATTTGGTGTAACAGAATATGTTGACATGCTTTAATGTTCAAAAAACACATTATTTTTCAAATACTGTACATTATTGTAGGTCCTCTATGCCCCGCCTCTCTCAAACGCTTCGTTTTCAACAAAGCCCCCTCCTTTGACAAGCGCAGTCTGCTCTGATTGGCCAGCTGACCCAGTGCATTGTGATTGGCCGAACACCACAAGCATGCGTCAGAAATGTAACACCCCTTACCATAATCGTGAGCTTAGCTTTCAAAGTAAATATTAAAACAGATAATAATGTCATTAGTTTTACCATCAGTTCAAGCCCGAAAGGGCAACAGAGTAGCGTGACAGACACAGTGATGATGCAGTACACAAGCCGCGGTTAAGACAGCTGACGTGCTATGATTTCTGACAGACAGTTCACTCTCCTGTGACCCTGTTCCCCTCACACACACACACACACACACGCACACAACGCGTTCTGCGCTGCGCAAAACTCCCCATTTGAACAGTTAATAGCAAATACTTAAACTAGTAACAAAACATACTTACAGTCGCTGATTCAGAAGCGCCAGATTGTCATAGCAAAGTCGAAGCGTTATGCAAATCTTCCCACATAGTGAGGTAGATATGTGGGGGCGTGTTAGAACGAGCCGTTTTAGGTAGGAATGGTTAACTCTTAATTTTATAAAGAATATCTCTTTGGATTTGAGACTTTAGTCTTTGCAACTTTACAGATCTTCTTTATGCACCAAGAGCTTGTAACACTCCAAAGAGAAAGGAAAATTTGAAATCACATCATATGACCCCTTTAAAAAGGTATCACCTTCGGTTTTGAAGGTTATCCCAACTCCAAATTTTCCTTTGATTATGTCCTTGTTTTCAGTAACCAGTTGGGCAAGTAACAGCTGTTCTTGTGTCCAGTTTGGTTTTCTTTTACGTTTGCATGTCTTACTATCAGCCATGATTATTCTACTCTGTTAATTAAAAGGCTCTTTATATGCATGTTCACTAATTGTTTAAGAGAAGCATATATGTAAGAGGCTGACAATTAGCTGAACATATACTTGTTTAATTAGTGACACGTAGCCTTCATTTTACAATCTTTATTTAAATGTGGCAACATTTTTAAACCTTTATCTTTATTCTTAAATATTTCCATGTATAAATCTCGGACAGAGACTATCAGCCAATCACTGTGTGCATAGTTAGTAAGCACGCTGACATCATCCATAGCAACGAGGTCAACCCCGCCCTCACTCTTAGCTTAATACTTCTCTCTATTCCTTAGTAAAAGTTTATCTCAGCAGCTTTGTGAATAGGTTTTAAGAGAAAACTATTAGCTAAAAACTTTTACTGCTATTTAGGAAAGCTCTTAGTGGTAAGATAAAATGTTTTGTGAATATGGGCCCTGTATACTTTGTGTGTCTCCCTTTATTTAACACACCTGATTCAGATCATCAGCCTAATAGGAGAGAGCTCCATGAACTGAATATGTAAAATAATGCCGAGTTCCCACTGCATGATTTTAGCCCTGATTTTCACTTGCCGACAGGTTTTGTGAAATCACAGGCAAATGGCAAATCGGTGCTCGCTTTGACTCTCTGATCAATGGAATTTACCGTACAGAAGCCCCTCCTCAGACACTCACTACTGGCTGTGTGGGGGGATGCAAATAAATAGGTGGAAAGGTGGGCAGGATATCCTATCATTGCATTTGGACCAAATGGAAACCGCGGAAAGTGAATATTTTATGGTCCTGAGCCTTCCACAGAAGATAACAAAACAAAATCTCATGGGAACCTCAATTTGTTTAATACCAACTTCGACTTTGGAACATAACTTGGTTAGACATATGGCGTTGCTTTTTCATATAAAAAATAATGCAATCAATGAACAGTTACACCTCGCACACCATCTGCGTTAAAAGCAAATAGAAATTACAATCAGTGCCGCTTGTCTACACTGGAAACAGTATACAGATGCACGTTCGCACACAGACACAGTCCACACGCTTATGTCTGTCGTCAGTAGGATAAATGGAGTGAACTTTCGGTTTAAACAGCTCGTTTGCATCTTTGTACAGATATCAGAAGGATCCCAGCGTAAGGAACAAGTGGATAGTTTATTTTTAATGGCATCCCGGATTGTGTCAGAAGATTGTTCAGAGCATTTTGTTTTGTAAACGAGGCACAGTGTCAGGGAGAGTTCACAAAGAAGCATTTGATGAACGATGAAGCGGTACTAGATCTGACTGCAGCTGCATCACAAACCAGAAGTAAATTATTTAATAATGCTTTTGTCTGGAAATGACTGGAAATTATTTTATTTGATCATGTTGTCAAAACACTCACATGCAAGTTAAGTTAGAACAAGGTCAATAAAACATCTTTATTATATTTATACGGTAGATGAGAATAGCCAAACCAAAAGGAAACAAAGAAAACACAATGTAACATTCATGAAACCGTACTCAATGGAATGCGCACATGTGACTGGGGCTAGTGCCATCTAGAGGTCGCTGATTTTCTGTGGCTCAGCTGCGCGTGGATCGCGAGCTGTGTGTGTGTGGATTGGGCAAGGCTAAAAGGGCTGAACGAAAGTCTCAAAATTCAAATGAATAAAATAGAATCGACTCAGAAGAGACGTGAATGAATGTACGCGTCTCACCTGATCCACAAATGCACATTTTAATCGCTACATGCACAAATCATGATACTTTAATACAAACTATAACATTTCTATTCACAAATATGTCTCTATTTGAACAAAATGCTGCACATTAATGTAATTCTTAACTCTGCAGACACCGGTTGAAAAGCATTTGTTTCAGTGTAGTGACGCACATTTGCGAATTTTTCAAATCGTGTACACATTAATGAATTGCACTGGACCTTGTTCGTTGGTAGTTGTGTGTGTGGGGGACGTGAAATGCTGTAAACTGCGAAAATGAAGTCTCAAAATCCAAATGAACTGAACAAGATCGACTCGAACTAGACATTAATTAATGCACGCGTGCCACCTGATCCACATATGCACGGATTCCTTTTTGCATGAGCAATTTATGATATATTAATGCAGAACAGATTATTTTTATTCGGAAACATGTCTGTATTTGTAAAAATCGCTGCACAATCATTTAATCCTGAATTCCACAGACTCAAATTGAAAGGCATTTGTTTGTGGTTAGTAAGATACAGGTATAACATTTATGCAGTACATGGATAATTGTGCGTGCATCTATTAATCATTTTGAGTCTAATATCATCCCATAGACATACGCTGACCGTTTCTCAAAGGGAAGGCTGCATCCTCCGGAGGTCGCATTTGCAGGCTGCATATGTCACCAAGCCTGGTTTATTTCAGTTAACTGAGCATTATATTCGCGAGTCATAAGCATATTACAACAATTTACAATATACTAAGAATAATGGTCAAATTTATAACTGTTAATATTATAAAATAAGATCTTCTTTATGATGTATGCAGCCTACAATTGCGACCGCCGAAGGATGTAGCCTTCCGTTTGAGAAACGGCCAAAATGTGCAGTAGTGGGTCCCCATGATTAAAACCCATTAATTTAGAGCTGTACAGACATTAACAATCAGCGTATAAATCTCATCAATGGTGACAATCAGAAAGCTTCATGCCACAATGCATGCTGGGTACCAGCATAGTACAAAACTCATCCATCACTCCCAGCATGCACTGCAGCATGAATTATGCAGCTGAACTGTCTTAGTATTTTTTTTTAATTAACTGACAAAGTACACCAGTTTAAAATACAAATGTTATGTTTAGCTATTCAAATGTAGTGTAGAGTTGTGAACACTTCATTTAACTTTAGAATTGTTCTGAGAGCTCTGATCTAAATAAGACCGCTTTTATATTGACAGATGTGATCTACTCACCAGTGACAGTAACAGTGATTCTCCTGGTTATGGTGCATCTGCTACTGATGATCTTCAGTACATAATCTTCAGGATCTGTGGTTCTGGTGTTTGTGATGATCAGAGATCCAGTCTGATTGTCCAGCTTCAGTCTGCTTATGAATATCCCATCAGCACCATCATATATGTAGAATCGTTGTCCTGTTTTATGGATTTCAGCTAGGCCAATGGACCCAAACATCCACAGTATCAGATCAACATTCTGTATTTCAGTAATAGTCGGTAGAGTAACAGAATCTCCCTCTTTCACTGACAATGACTTCACTGCATCTGTCACAACAACAAACACATGAAGAACAGTGAGGAACAGCGACTCAGACATGAATTAAATACATACAGAAACATTTTAAAACACTATTAAAGCTCATTTAACTCTCAGTTGTTTAAATTAAAGTATAAATTCTGCAGCAACACTTTACTGGTCATAAAGGCATATTTCAAGTCTAACAGGACATTTCCATCAAAGGAATGACTAAGAGAAGAAGAGAAATGTGTTCATCAGATCAGCTGATCAAATATAGGTTAACATTTGAGCTCATTATGAAACTGAACACAACAGTGAATAATGAACAGAAAGAGAAATGAAGCATCATTACCGGCTTCACTAATTATTAACCAGGGGTACATTTCCCAAAAACAACTAAAAGCAACTATGGTATATCAATTAAATTTAAATAATTAGAACAGTAATCCATTCCTGAAAATGAATGCAACAATTAATCGCACTGTACTGCTAGTACATAAAAAAAACACACACATACATACATATATATATATATATATATGTGCTGGTTACTCAGTGATCACGCGCACTGTGACTCTTTGATTTGTGAAATGTTTTGTACAGAAGCCCCGCCTCAGACTCTCACTACTGGCTGTGCTGTGGTATGCAAATAAATAGGCTGACAGGTGGGCAGGACATCCTATCATTGCATTCAGGTCAAATGTAATGATTGGACAAATATTTTATGGTCCTGAGCCTTCCACAGAAGAATTATTTATATTTATATTTAGACCACTTTAACTATTGATTACCAGGATGTGAATAGACTTTTAACCAGTATAACAAAAATGTTTGTAGAAAAAATTGCCTACCCTAGATTTAATAAAGATTATTTTAAAAACAAGTTGTTAACAACTATGTAAATAACAACTGAAATACCTTCAATTAACAACCTCAGAGCTCACAGTACAACCCAGAAAGACTAATAATATTGAACCTTCAAAAATGAGAATATTACATTATAGTTAATTATAGAATCTTCTTATAACATTATGACTGTAAACAGTCAGCCAATATAATGTTATAATCTTATAACATTAGGGTAAGATGACCCCATATCACACAATCTTATCTCAGCACATTTGATGAATGGCTGCATGTTATTATTCTTATAATGTAATACTTATTGTAATAAATGGGGTTATTATATAGTATTTCCATGAATTAGATGTACATTTCAGACATCTTTGCTTTTTATTAATGTTCTTGGGACACGTAGCAGTTTTTTAATTTTTTTGCCTTTTTCCCCCCCATCACATATTTTAGTAATTATCAAATTAGGTATTGTTCTAAATTTAAAAAACTCAAAATTCATCATATCAAAACCATTTTAAAATCAGACATTACTTTAAAAGCTCCTCGCCCTTTGTGATGTCAAGTGCCATATTACAAAATTTACTACACTATTTTATAATCGATTTTTTTTTTATATTGACAAAACACAGTGGAAAGGTCTGACAGTCAAAGTTCCATATTAGGTGACTGCTTTGTGGTAGAAGTGATATTTTGACAGAAATGTATTGATTTGTCACAGGTGACTGCATCAACAATATATGTGGTCCCCCTGTGGTCATTTCTGGTATAGTGCCTGAACAAAATCGCATGGGAACCTCATTTTTTTATACCAACTTAAAATTTGGAAAATAACTTGGTTAGACATATGTTGTTGCTTTTTTGATATAAAAATAGTTCAATCCTACATGTCATCGATAGGTATGTAGGACGAAGACCAAAAAAACAAAAAAAATACACTGAACAGAGTTGCATACAATAAATAAATTTTTTATACTTTTGCAAGTACTGATTTACTCATTTTGTAATTTTTTTAATTATAAAATGGCCTAATGGTTAGAGAGTCTGACTTATTACCCAAAGGTTGTGAGTTCGAGTCTTGGTACCGGCAGGGATTGTGGGTGGGGGGAGTGAATAACCAGCGCTCTCTTCTACTCTCAATACCACGACTGAGTAAATGACTTATAAATTGTTCATATTTATATATGTTATCTAAACAATAAACTTATATCTAAATATATTACAATTTAAAAGTATATGAGCATTGTTTCTAAGAGAAGCATCTTTCCCCCTTTTACCTTACAAAAAAAAATAAAAAATCTACTCACCAATAGTAATTCGGTATTTCCTGTGTAAGATCTTTCTTCTGGTAATGATCTCCACTTTATAATGTCCACTCTGATTTATTTGGATGTTACTGATGTTGAGGTCTCTGGTCTCAAGATTCAGATCAATGTTGCTCCATGTCTTGTTAACAATGCCGTTTAACCCCTTAACTTACACAAGACCATAGACGGTTCCAAGGTTTGTTAGTTTACATTTACGCCATGCTTTATCTATCAACATATTAATTAATTTTGACAAACAACAAGCCATTTGAAGGTTTAAAGACTCAACCACTTTACGATAATAAAATCAAAACAATAGCCTAAAATCAGTTTAATTTGTAAGAGTTTGCAACACCTTACAACAATACACGCAACATTAAAATGAGGAGCTCTGAACAGTTTTTGTCCAGTGACGATGACAGATAAATTCAATCATAAAAATATCAGTGCAGATTTCGTATTAATTATCCAGACCACAAAATAATTTATGTGTGTTAGTTCAGAAAGTGGTGATTTAAGAGGAATATTGATGAATTCCGCTTTGTTTACGTAACATATCTTTAAAGATTATTATAATTTGTGTCAATTTTCTAATACATTACGCAGTGTGAGATGTTTTTCAGTGGTAATACACTATATTATCACTTTTGATATTATGAAAAGAATAACCCCGGCCCCAACGAGTGCTGATTGAAAAATCATTTAGAACGTTCTAACAGTGCCACTGATTGTTGTAATGTGCGGATAAGTACAACCTATACTATTCACTGCACACAGTCAGCCAATGTAATGTTTTGATGGAAAAAAAAGCCAACAAAGACAGAGATTATATTCATAGGTTATATTTATGCAGGTGTTTCCTTTGTGCAGGTGTTCAAGCATTGAAGTTTGTTAATAAGAAATCTTATTAATTGTATTCTTTTCAAAGATGCATTGAGTAATTGTTGCACCAACAGCATCAACAAACAGAATTGCAAAAATAATAACTGTATTCAAACAGGTTTTCTAAACACTCTCCCTGTCTGTCACTAATTTGAGATTCCCAGCATCACATACTATCAGAGCAGGTAATACACCCGATGAAGAACTTGACTTAAAATGTCTGTTTTATAAAGTATGAATGTGAGTAGTATGAATACAATCTGAAGATACTACATTGTCATGTGATCTACAACAGCAGCTGTGTCACTTTTCCCCACCCTGTTGAAATCCTCTCCCGTAGCCTCTTGGGACAGTAAACTGTCCATCAAATGTCCTAAACACTTTAGGACCCGTCGGAAGTATTAGGTCACACAGGTATTTTTCAGCTACTCTTAAATAAGTGCTGATAATTTGGAGATCTGACACGGCCTACTGTTTTTCACATGCTATATAATATGGAAGAAGGTTTATTTGGAAGTAGTCTTGTCCCACTGGTTTTGCTAAATGGATTTTTCCACCACAAACTCACTCGACAGGTTGAGCCAATGTTGCTTTATCAGACTGATCTGGATGCTCAAACAAATAGATCAAGCAATATAGTTATTTAAAAAGTAGCTGAGAATGCTATAGTGCATGTACTAACTACTAGCTTGCTGTACTAATGCCCTATATGCACATGCTAACAACTAAAATATTATTATTATTAGGCTACAATAATTGTGTAGGCCTAAGTTTTTTTTTTCATTTTTTTTTTTTTTAAATAATGTTTGATACAGAGGAAAATATGTTTGCAGACTGAATATAACAAAAATCTATCTCTTGGGGAAGTGTGCTGCACAGGTATAAATGTGTGCAGACTGAGGTCAACAGATAGAGTATATTGATGGAAGTATATTGATGGAAGTTTTCTGCAGCATACGAGTCAGAGTATAGAGATGTAAGCAGAGGAAACAGAGATGGCAGTGAAGACAGGTTGCTGTATTTCAGTCAATGTCAAATGTCAAAAGTGTGAATGTGTGAAGTGTAGATGACAAAAAAACAGATTGGAATCAGAGATTTGAACATTTGGGTGAAACTTTGGAAATTAGTTTCCTCACAATTTTGAGAACTGGCAATGGAAAAGCAGGAATGATGATATTAAGCATTGCCACCAGAAACTGTTGTGCCACCTGTCATTATGCCCAGACAGAGTGTGACTATATATGTACAATATTTACAGCTATAACAATTATGTTTATTTGTAATTAATGTTATACTGTTTTTCACTTAAAAATCCTCAGTTGTCATTTTGGAGTTTTCAAATGCTCCTAGTTAATATTTACATTCTTTAAGAAGAAAAGCTTATAGGAACCTTATTTTTAGTGGCTTCTTCTTTAAATTTTAATTTAAAATTGTTCAGACATTTGAATTTTACCAGACTGATTTTTGAGTTGCTCTGGCACAGTTTTATATATTTATTTCTAAATAGATTTTATTCAAATAAAATAATCATTACTTTCCAAAATATTTTAAGCACTTCTCACCTTTAGTCTATATTGACACACTTGATTCTTATACCTAAAAAACAAGCTCACAACTCTCATCTTTCAAAAGAGACCCTAATTATGTCTTTAGTCCAAACACTTCATGAACTGCGATGGTTTTAGTTTGTGTAGGCCATCTTTTGTTTTGAGTTCAACTAGTGGGGCGACTGTTAACAGGTTAAGCCATGATCTCCAAACTTCCACAGTATCTGTTCAATTCTCTGTGTTTTAGTAAGACCAGTGTGTAGAGTGACAGAATCTCCCACCAGCACTGACACTGACTCCACATCATCTGTCTCAACAACAAACATGAGAACAAACAGAAACAGTTTTGAGAGATTAATCTTGTAATGCTGTCTGGAGTATAAAATGAATCTGAATTAAAGTGAACATGATTTCTACTGAGGGGGACTGATTTCGATAAGATCATTACAAGCAGTGATGCAAATTAAACTGTTTCAAATCTCTTGGAAATCAGTTGGAAGGTCTCAAAGCATTTCCAGATCATGGACTCTGCTTGGTTGTATTGGGTTTGGAATATGGATTTTTTGCATTCTATCAGTATTTTTTTAATGTTACATAAGGTAGCTTAACATGCATGTAGATAGAATTTTATTTTGGTCATAAATTTCAGTTAATAAATCTCACTGAGTCTTGTCTAATAAAGCTGATTTAACTCTGTTAATGTTTTTCATTTATACAGCAGCCATTTGCTGTCAGAAAGACACATATCAGGTCTAATAAGACATTTACTTTTAAATAAAAACAAAGAAAAGAAATGTGTTCATAAGATCATATGATAGTGCAAGTGAACATGAGCATATTTACTGGTGTTTGGAAATGTATTAACTGAACAGAATGATTCATAGCTCCATTTTTAATTTAATTCAATTTACCAAAATTATGTTTGAAATTATGTATGGAGATGCACTCAATTATGAACACCACTACTGTATAATGCTTTGAGATTTTGAGAATAACATAAACTAACAGTATAGTTTTTTAGCCTTAATTCAGTGTAAATAAGTTTATCTAAACTATTCACACAGAACTAATCTAAATATATTTAATATTACATTGATGGACTCACCGCTGACAGTCACATTGAATGACTGTGTATGGTGTAGGGTGTATCTGCTGCTGGTACTGCTGATGTCAGCTTCATAAAGTCCAGAGTCTGTGCAGTTGATGTTTGTGATGTTCAGAGATCCAGTCTGATTGTCCAGCTGTAGTCTGTCTCTGAATCTCCCATCAGCACTATTAAATGTGTTGAAGATTCCAGCTGTTCTATCGATTTCAGCTATAGAAGAGTTCTGATGATCAAACCTCCACCGTATCACATCATATCTCTGTATATAAGTAGGATCAGTGCGTAGAGTGACTGAATCTCCCTCCAGCACTGACACTGGCTTCACTGCATCAGCAGACACAACTGCAGAACAAACAGAAACAGTTTCTGTCAGTTATCACTTTTCAAACAGTCACTATAAACAGATCTAACACAGATCACTGAGTCTTGTCTAATTATTCTCTTCAACATTTTCAATGTTCTTTTCTGCAACCATCTTAACTAGTCAAATGCAGATAGAGTGGATTTTACACATAAATTCACTAACACACAAACTATAAATGTTGAGTGACTAAAACTTTTTTTTTGTCAATGAAAGAAATCGATGCTTATGTTCATCAAGGTAATATTTAATTAAAAGTAATCAATTCATTACATTTTAACCAGAGCTGAAAAAAAGCTTCAGCCCTCAGCAGCAATTACTCTATTCTAAACTGCGTGCATAATTATGAGGCACGTTCATATTCTGATCATATTTTTAAGAATTGATGTGAAGATTTAGGTGTGAAACCATCAGGAAGCATTTAGTCTCCAGCACCACCATTTTCCAGAACGGCAACTTTCCTGGAGTCTCCAGAATTACAAGGTGTCAGGTTCTGAGAGACTTTGCTTGGGTAAAAAATCCTAAAAATGACCCTCACTTAATTAGAATAACATGCTGAAGTATTGTGAAATACATGAAGACTGATTTTTTTCTAGGCTTTATATACAGATAAGTTGAGAGTGACTCTTGAAGGACCAGCACCACATCCTCTTGTACCTCTGTTTGAAGAATTTATCTTCAAGAATCTGGCAGTAAGTTTTAGGAGCTCATTTTTAGTCAATTCTGCAAGACAAACTTTTCAGGATAGGAGATGGAATAAATAAAAATTTGTCTTAATATACAGTATTTCACAATACTTCAGCATGTTATTCTAATTAAGTGAGGGTCATTTTTAGGATTTTTTTACCCAAGCAAAGTCTCTCAGAACCTGACACCTTGTAATTCTGGAGACTCCAGGAAAGTTGCCGTTCTGGAAAATGGTGGTGCTGGAGACTAAATGCTTCCTGATGGTTTCACACCTAAATCTTCACATCAATTCTTAATTCTTTTGCAGTTAACGAGTGTTTTCTCTTCTCCACCTGTTTTTTTCTGACCTCGCTGACCCAGTGAGCATTTTGCTGACCAATGGTCATGTCTTAACTTTGCAATTTCTGTATTGCATTAGTTTTTAATATTCCTCTTAGGGATTTGATCATTTTTAAATATCTTTTTTGGCTCATTTTATCAGTAAAAGAAAACATACCTAATAATTCTGCACACATGAATATAAGGAGTTTTCCACTTCCAGCCGTCATGGACAATTATATATATCACAAATAAATAATTCAATACAAAATTAATAGTAATTATTAAGATTGATGTGGTTTGGAATTGGTAAAATGTGCTTGGAAAAAAAATATGATTGGAATATCAATGTGCCTCATAATTATGCACGCGGTGTAATTAAAAAAAACACATTGTAGCATAATAACCCTTGAGAAATCAAACTAATGTGCTGACTTAGTACTCTGCAAAGCTGACACTTGCAGGTCAAATTGTGGTTATAAAAATGGCCAAACAGAAGTATATTTATAGAAACACATCAGTCTGTTGTTATTTTAAAAGTTATAAAATATTCCAAACACTACTGTCTTGAAAGAAAAAAAGTAACTAGTTTGAGAAACAGACCCTCACTGGTGCTCAGATATAAGCTTCACTGAACAGGACACACTAACACTGTTACAGTGAAGAGAAGACCGAGATGCTGCGGCTGAATTAATCTGAGAATTTAGGAGTTCTGGGAAGAGTTTAACTGTAAGATCTGTGATTAATGCCCTTCAGACCAGTAACACATGGGAATTACTACAGAAAATGAAACCTCTGAATATCTTAAAAAGCTAACTGCAAGAACACATAAGATTTGCAGAGCTGCCACTGCTGCACACAGATGATTCTTGAACAAGAACAAGAATTCTTCTTTGAAGAACAAATAATACTATAAAGGTTTTCACTGTCATATTTATTCAATTAGATGTGTCTATGATGAATAACAGTATCATAACATTTTTTGAAAAAAACATTTATTGGGGCCAGTTGTTCAAAAAGTTTAATCTGGATCAGAATGATTTGGAAATCCCATGTTTTGCTATCCAGGATCAGGTAACCCATCCTACTTTTGTGTTGGTTTTTCAAAGCAATATTGAATTGGATCACCCTGATCCAGATACACAATTTTTCAGATTTCCAAATCTGGGCCCATATTCACAAAACATTTCATCTTCCAACTAAGAGTTCTCCTAAATAGAGGTAAAAGTTTTTAGCTAAGAGTTTTCTCTTAAAACCTATATACTCTTTAAAAAAGCATCATATGACCCCTTTAAGCTAAGAGAAAGGGCGGGGTTGACCTCGTTGCTATGGATGATGTCAGCATGCTTACTAACTATGCACACAGTGATTGGCTGATAGTCTCTGTCAGAGATTTATTCATGGTAATATTGTAGAGCACGATATGTTGCTGTATTCAAATAAAGGTTTAAAAATAAAAATGTCAATTTTTATGTCAATGTCAAATGTCAACATTCAAATAAAGATTTTAAAATGTAGGATAAGTGTCACTAATTAAACAATTATATGTTCAGCTAATTGTCAGCTTCTTACATGTGTGCTTCTTGTAAACAATTGGTAAATATGCATATAAACAGCCTTTTAATTAACAGAGTGGAATAATCATGGCTGATAATGCATGCAAATGTAAAAAAAAAAAAAACCTGGACACAAGAACAGCTGTTACTTTTTGCCCAACTGGTTACTGAAAATAAGGATATAATCAAAGGAAAATTTGGAGTTGGGGTAACCTCCAAAACCAAAGGTGATAGGCCTACCTTTTAAAAGCTCATTATCGTTAAATGTTTCTAAAATGTTTATATTCCGAGGCAGATTGCCAGCAATAGCCATTTTAGGATAGTTTGTGACTAGTCTTAGTGACTCAGGAGTCCTCTTCACTACTCCGAACGTTTCACAGATTTAGGAGCTAGTTTTAGTGCTAAAACGCTTTGTGAAATACTCTTAGAGCAAAGATTTAGGAGTCCTTAAGGATATAATCAAAGGAAAATTTGGAGTTGGGGTAACCTCCAAAACCAAAGGTGATAGGCCTACCTTTTAAAAGCTCATTATCGTTAAATGTTTCTAAAATGTTTATATTCCGAGGCAGATTGCCAGCAATAGCCATTTTAGGATAGTTTGTGACTAGTCTTAGTGACTCAGGAGTCCTCTTCACTACTCCGAACGTTTCACAGATTTAGGAGCTAGTTTTAGTGCTAAAACGCTTTGTGAAATACTCTTAGAGCAAAGATTTAGGAGTCCTAAATTTAGGAATGACACGCCCATTATTTTTAAGATTTTCTCCTAAATCTGCGAGTTATGAGCTACTTTTAGCCAGAGGATGTTTCGTGAATACGGGCCCTGAATTATTAGTGCTCTACGGAGCCCCTAAAGGGACATGGTGATGGAAAAAAAGAGATTGGAAAAAAATGGCAATGTTTTACATTCTAGTTTTGCATTGCATTTACACAAATAACTACTTCTGACTGGTCCATCTCTGATGATTGTGCCAGTGTAGTTTACAATCAGTGATAAAAAAAAAAAAAACAACAACTTTAAATATATTTTTGTTTGATACTGACAGCTGTTCGGGGATTTGGGCACATATTACATGTTACAAATATTGTATTTTTTGGGGGGGGATTTAACCAGATTTAAAGTTTTATTAAATTTTTGTTCCTGAAATCCACTCTTCTGCTGGGATCAGAATAATCCTTTTTTTTTTTTGGATCAAAAGTGTCCCAATCTTACGAAAACATTTTGAACACAAACTGAGGATTTAATCCAGATCAAAACCAAGATTGGATTTTGTGATCTAATCCAAATTCAGAATCCTTTTTTTTTTCTCTTTTGAACAACACATTTTCAAGATTTGACCCAATCCGATGACCAAAATCTGATCAGATTACTTTTGAACAACTGATCTCTGGTGATTCCAAATGGATTAGACTGAGGCATCTTGTGTTGATTTGAGAAAAATCTGATAAATACACTACTGTTCTACACTTAGGAACACTATAACACTATAATTTTTTTTTTTAAAGAAATTGATACTTTTATTCAGCAGGGACACATTCAATTTATAAAAAAAATAAATTAAGTAAATCTAATGTTTCTTGAGCAGCAAATCAGCATATTAGAATGACTTCTGAAGGATCATGTGACACTGAAGACTGGAGTAATGATGCTGAAAATTCAGCTTTGCGCAACGGGAATAAATGAAATTTTACTATATATTCACATAGAAAATTTTTATTTTAAATTGTAATAATATTTCAAAATATTACTGTTTTACTGTATTTTTAATTAATGAAATGCAGCCTTGATGAGCAGAAGAGACTTCTTTAAAAAACAGTAGTATTCGATCCTGGCCCTGGGGATCCACTGCTCTGCACATTTTGTATGTCTCTCTTATCTGACACACTCAGTTGAGTTCATGGAGTCTCTCCTAATGAGCTGATGATCTGAATCAGGTGTGTTAAATAAGGGAGACATACTAATTGTGCAGAGCAGGGGTCCACAGGACCAGAATTGAAAACCACTGGAACCCATCTTAACAAGATCATTCACTCAATAATGAAAATTGCAACCATTTACTCGCGCATATGTCGTCCAAACCAGTTCAGTGGCTTCTTTTCCTTCCATTAAACACAAAAGTATAACTATATATATATATATACAATAAACCGAGCAGCAAATCAGCATATTAGAAAGATTTCTGAAGATCATGTGACACACTGAAGACTGGAGTAATGATGATGAAAATACAGCTTTGGTCACAGAAATCAATTCAATTCCATAATGTATTCACATAGAAAATTTTTATTTTAAATTGTAATAATATTTCAAAATATTACTGTTTTACTGTATTTTTAATTAATGAAATGCAGCCTTGATGAGCAGAAGAGACTTCTTTAAAAAACAGTAGTATTCGATCCTGGCCCTGGGGATCCACTGCTCTGCACATTTTGTATGTCTCTCTTATCTGACACACTCAGTTGAGTTCATGGAGTCTCTCCTAATGAGCTGATGATCTGAATCAGGTGTGTTAAATAAGGGAGACATACTAATTGTGCAGAGCAGGGGTCCACAGGACCAGAATTGAAAACCACTGTTTTAAAAGCATTACAAATCTTAGGCCCGGTTTCACAGACAGGGCTTAGACTAAACCAGGATTAGGCCATAGAGTTCAATTAGGACATTTGAGTAATTTTTATGAACCTGTCTTATTAAAAAACATTACTGGTGTGCATCTTTAGACAAAACAAAGGCACTGATATATTTAAAGATCAGTCAATGCAAGTTTCTTTCAGTTGAAACAGCTCACTTACATTTTAGTCTGGGACTAGGCTTAAGCCTTGTCTGTGAAACCGGGGGTTACTGTCCTCAAATGTTAAAACAGTACTGTAGATTATTGGCATTAAGTGCACAATCTGTTATGCTTGTTTGCACCTGGGATGAAACAATTTGGACCCCTAGCCTCTTTGTCTGTGCTCCTGTGTCTAATTAAGCAACTTTAACTTATAGGTAATTCTTTACAATAAGTTTCCATTAGTTAATGTATTAACTAACATGAACAAATAATGAACAATACATTTATTACAGTATGTATTCATCTTTGTTGATGTTAGTTAATGAAAATACAGTCGTTCATTGTTAGTTCATGTTAATTCACAGTGCATTAACTAGTATTAAGCACAACTTTTGATTTTAATAATGCATTAGTAAATGTTGAATTAACATTAACCAAGATTAATAAATGCTGTAGAATTATTGTTCATTCTTAGTTGATGTTAACTAAAGTAGTTAACTAATGAACCTTACTGTAAAGTGTTACCAATAAATATGAGAACATATGATTTTTAAAACTGTATTTAACAACTAATTTTAAACTTATTTAAAAATTGAATATGAATATTATAAAAATTATTGTAACTATATATTTTTTTATTTAGATTTTTAATTTTGTTTTCTTAATTATTTTTATTTTTGTGGTAGAACATAGCACTTAGCTAACACTATCATGGACTGTATGCCCAGTGAAATGTCCATACTTAAACTGATAAAAATGTACGAATTTAATGCAGTGTACATTTCTTTTGAAAAAAACATCTGCCAAATGCATAAATGTAAGTGTAGTTGAGAATGTTTTGAAGAACAATTGAATAACTATTTGGAAATCTGCCTTTTCCCCATTTTTGATTAGATTCAACTTTATTGTCAGTGTGCAGAGTGCAGTGCAGAGCCAAAGAAATACATACATTCTTAATTATTGATCAAATTCAATATTGTATGGCCTCTAGACCTACATGTCTTATTCTTCCCAAGACACACACAAAAAACAAACAAACAAAAAACAAATAGTCTCCAATGGCTGCTGTTTTGAGGGAAACTAATCAAAGACTAATAAACCTTTTACCAACAAAAGAAAATTATTTCACTTTCATTTTACCACAGAATTTAAATAAATCTGAATTCTGTTTTTCAATAATAATGAAACACTTGCATTAAATAATAAATGATCAGACAAACACAATCTGATAACAACATTTATATTTTGTTTATGTGTGTCATTTTAAACTGAAATACTTTGTAAATATTTGCTGACAAACTATAAATGAGAGCTTGCCAGTACAGATTTTGCATCTAACAATACAAATTTCAGAGAACTCAAATTGTTCATACACTCTCAGAAAAAATGTACAAAAGCTGTCACTGGAGCGGTGCCTTTTTGAAAGGTACAAATATGTACCATGAAGATACTACACTTCAGTTACATGCAGGGACGCTAGAAGTAGGGGTGCTGAGGGGGCTGCAGCACCCCCTGTTTTTACATGGTTGCAAATGCAACGCCAAGTTTGTTCATTTGAATTTAGTCAGTTTTAGCATTTAATAATTTATATGTAATGATCTCTGAAATGTAAATTGTAAGTGGGCTATAACAAACCCATGTTTATCTTTATAAACATGATTAATTTCACTTGTGATGTTTTCTATATGGGATGATTAGCCTAATCCTCATGAACACGTGATGCTGGCGCGTGGTATCAGACATGAACTATACAGAATGCGAACAAGATTAACTTTAATACAAGGAGATAATGGTGCAAAAGCGAATTTCAGATTTTTTTTAATGCCCATCCCAGCAAAAACTTTCCAAAATAGGCATCCAACACCAGCCCCAACACGAGCACCGACGTAAGTGAACCAGCTCCAGCATGAGCACGAAGACAAGTAAGCCTAGAGGACCCAGCCCAACCCCCGAGATTGATCAGCTACTATCGATCATTTCAAAAATGTGATATGCAGTCAAGTTTCCCAGTGTGTATGCCATTTAAACGAGTGTTCATATCGACGCACTTGTAGTGCTTTGTGGAGTTGTCGATTGACAACCCCCCCCCCCCCAAACACTGCGTGGATAGAGAAAACCTGACACAACTAGGGGGTCTGGGGGATTCTTGGCAGAGAGACGTTTTGAAAGATATTTGCTTTACATGCAGAGCTGGACTGGGACAAAACAACAACCCTGGCATTTTTGGTCCAAGGGGCCCACCACTACATCAGAATTGGGCAAGTTGGACACCCGTATATATACACATTGTCTTTCAGAATACACACACATTAACTCTGTGCGTATATTTATGTTTAAGTGGACCAGTGTACTCACTCACTCTCGACTCTGTCTTAATAGTCAGTCAAAGTTATGACTGTTTGTGGAGACCATGCAGTATAGACATGCACCAATCATTATTTTATAGCAAATCCCGATTGACAATTTTTTTTTACAAGCAAATGGGCTGATTCTGATACTGACTGCTGATTTTCTTACTTTTTTTCTTTCTTTAAGCAAGAGACAAGAAAGATTGAAAGTCTACATAAACAAGATGTTTATTTGCTCTATTACAGGCCTTAAAAAATATCTGTAGCTATTTAAAATTAGAGGCAACCACTGCTTTTAAATCACATTCAAAAAGAGATGCTACATACATGGTGCATTTAAATTAAATTGCATAATTTCAAGATTTAAGGCAAACAGAAGGGTGTGACTTTAGCTTTGTGAAATTGTGCTAAATATGCAAATTCATTCTTTGACAGCCACAATATAGTGTTTCCTTGGTTAATGCTGTAAAAATCAGAGCTGCGCTTATGAACACTACTTTAATATTCATTAAACAGAGGTCAAATGAAAAGAAAATGCCATCGGAAATGTTCTGAAAACAGTCTAAAATCCGTTTACGTTCAGCCCCCGCCCCATCCACATGATGGTACAAATGTGTTCTGAGAGTGTAGAGTGATAAATAACACTATTATATAAAAAAGACATACCTTTGACAGTGAATGTCATCTCTGGGGGGGACCCTCCGGGGCTGCTGATCTTTACTTTATATTGTCCAGAGTCTGTGGTTCTGATGTTGCTGATCTTGAGATCTCCAGTCTGATTGTCCAGCAGCAGTCTGTCTTTGAATGACCCATCAGGTTTAACCCATATCTCACTGGAGTCACTGCTGATTTTAGCTATACGAGTTCCATTGAACCTCCACTCAATCTCGTCATCTTTCTGTATGTCAGTAACACCAGACTTTAGAGTGACTGAATCTCCCTCCGTAACTGACACTAACTCTCCATTACTTGATTCTTTTCCATCAATAAAGACACCTGCAGAACAAACAGAAACAGTCAGAAATTAAACTTATAAAACACTCAGAAATCATAATCAGTGGAAATCTCTTGTGACTTGTAGCAGACTTGGGGGAGAAAGGTGGTGACAATTCTTGGGGCCAGATTACAACCAGGGAAGGCCAACAGCACCATGCACCAGGGCCCTGGATACCTAGCTATGGCCTGGGCAGACTACATTAAAATTAATTAATATTATTATTATTATATACAAAAAATAAATAAAATAAAATAACAAAATAGCCTAAAGCAAACGAAAAGGGCTCCAAATAAATAAGAGGGTAATATATCAAATATATAAAATATGTGGTTGCAACAACTGTGACCTATGCAATGTTGCAGTGCTGAAAAAACCAACTGTATAGACACTGCCTGCGTCTACTACATTAACTAGTAGGGGTGACCGCGATTTAAAACGGGGGGCCTTTAAACAGGTCACTGCCGCGTCATAATTCGGTGTTGTGTCAAAGTCTGTTCCCCTCACAGGACTAGACCACAGGATTTAGTGTTTGAGGATGAGGGAGGATCATGATGCTTCTGCCCATCTCGGAGGTTGAGGAGCACAGTGTGGAAGCTGGAGGAGCTGAACACGCAGCGCCAGCTGAAGCTTGGGCTCTGATGCTCTGGGGTGGGTAGGGCATGTGAGCTATTTTACGTCCCATTCCAGCAGATTCGTCAAAAGCGCCTGCAAAGCTGTAATGAAAAGACGTTGGTACATTCTTAATGTTCTTAATAAATGTTGATGCAATTATTACACTGTGTTGTTTCCTCAATACCTGTTTTAATGCATGCGACACAGTTTAAGTGTCATTTTAACATGATTTCATGTGGTGACAAGGTTCACAAACCACACCCAAGTTATCTTGGCACATCCACTTCTATGGAAAATGACAATCGCTCAAATAAACGTATATTTCAAGTGCAATTCACTTCTATATACACTGACTGAGTGAATATAGCGTTATTTAGCAGTCTGTTATTTACACTAAGTGCAAATAGCTATAGATTTTATTTACACTATTTAAAAATAGCAGTATGTTTGCATTAAGTGTAGAAAGATGCTATTTATACTTAGTGGCAATAATGGCAGATAGGCTACATTATAAAAAAAAGTATGCAATCGTTAAAATGAAAATATTTATTAAAGTTATCAAATGGATGCTTCCTTATGGGACAATTAGTCCTCTCTACACACTGTAAAACGCCATAGTCCAAATAAGTTATATGAACTTACTTTTCCGCTTTAACTCAATTTGTCATTTTAAGTTTTGGATATTGAACTACAGTTTATATGTTATTAAAAATTAAACAAAGTAATACGTTGTCTTGACTACTTCTGAGTTTTGTCTGGCTTGTAAAAGTTAATTTAACTCATGTCTGTAAGTTATATGTTGGGGGAGGGGCGATACACGGAGACCGCGAAATACAGAGAGAAGTCATCGCCATTTTGAGTTAAAAGGTTGGTTCACCCAAAAATGAAAATTAGCACATAAATTACTCACCCTCAAGTCATCCTACGTGTACATGACTTTCTTCTTTCAGACGAATCGCTATTTGCACTTAGTGTAAATAACAGACTGCTAAATAACGCTATATTCACTCAGTCAGTGTATATAGAAGTGAATTACACTTGAAATAAACGTTTATTTGAGCGATTGTCATTTTCCATAGAAGTGGATGTGCCAAGATAACTTGGGTGTGGTTTGTGAACCTTGTCACCACATGAAATCATGTTAAAATGACACTTAAACTGTGTCGCATGCATTAAAACAGGTATTGAGGAAACAACACAGTGTAATAATTGCATCAACATTTATTAAGAACATTAAGAATGTACCAACGTCTTTTCATTACAGCTTTGCAGGCGCTTTTGACGAATCTGCTGGAATGGGACGTAAAATAGCTCACATCCCAGTTAACAACGATCCCCAGTTGATCCGTAACACCGTCGCTGCACTAACACCATATGTAGTCATTTGCTGTTGAGCAATATACAAAAAAGGTGCTCTACACCTTCATAAATATGATCATGTTTATTATATTTATAAACTCAGCAGAGAATAAGAAAATGCGTATTTCCAGCGAGTAGAAAAACGAAACCGAAAGTGTTGCAGCTATGCTCAAAAACCAAACTTACCGATCGTGCATAATCGGAAAAGAACAACTGCAAGTGCGCTTTTCATCTTGATGTAGAGTTGCGTGCATAAATATGATCCGTAGAGTTATTGAACTCCTGAGTGTTTGTCAGAGATCTGTTTCTGAGCCGCACCCGGAACCAGAGACCTGCAGCATGAGCCGACCAACAGAGAAACAATTCTACTAAAGACTTTTACACCGAGTAGCGTTTACTGGTCAATTACCTCAGTTGTTTATATTATGCTGAAACAGTCAGGTCTATATTGCTTATGTTCTAGAACAGTAGAAAGCGTAGTCTAGTAACGTTACCTAAAATGGCTGAAGCTTCCGTTTTTCTCTATCACGCATGCGCATAGCGACACCTAACGAAAGCCACACACGCAACCAACGCGAGAGTTTGTTTAGTCAGGAAGCTTAGAAGATGATTTTGGTGTTGTCTCTTTTATACTGATTTTCTTTAATACTACTTGGAACATATGAATCTGAGATACAGGCCTATAAGAAAACAGACCTATATACTGTATATCCCATATACTAACGTTAGGGAAACGTTCTTTTTAGGTTATATTTTTTGTAACCATAAAATAACCTTCCCAGAACGTTGCAGGGTGGTTATTTTCAAATAACCTAAAAATAACTTATACAGAACGTTCCCTTATGGTTATTCTCAGGTTATTTTTATAACCCTGTAAAACTATCTTTCCAATGAAAACGTCTCAGATGTTAATGTGTAATGACCTATACAGAGCCCTGAAATTCGTTTAATGCAGCATTTATTAAAATACAGAAATTAGATCAATCAAAACGCGATTTAAATGATAATATTAAGCCAGGGTTAAGCATAGAGTGATAACAGAAATAATAAATTCGTGGGTTTGTTTTATCTTCATTACTGCGCGCCTCTGCTCTGCACGCGCTTTCACCTGTCTTTCACAGAGAGCCGCGCGCTCGCAGAATTTAAAAATTAACGGTCATTTTTCATTTTACTGGCTGATTGACTCGCTCGTTTATCGATCTCTTTATTGAATGATTACTTAAAATTAATATATTTATGAGAGTAAATATGATTTCGGAGGGATTTAAAATGCCTAACTTAAGAGAACATGATGTTAAGCGAGAGGTTTTTGTTTACAGATCAAAAGAAGCTCCCCCAAAAACTGTACACTTCAGTGGTAATTAAATTAATGTACTGATATCCTACTTTAAGTCAAGTAATTTTTTATTCTTGTATATTGTTTAGAAAAGAAACCATTGCTGTGTCCCAATTCATAGGCTATGTCCTTCTAAGTGCGCATTTGAAGGCCGATTGCGTCATGGCGGCGCGACGAAGACTGTCCCAATTCGAACGCGACTTTAAATGCGTCATCCGTTTCTCCGGCAAATGAAGGATACATCTGATGGATCCTTCGCACCCTACCCTATCCCAGAATTCATAGCGCGCCGGTGATGACGGGACTTTTATTCAAACAAAATAGCAAGTGATGGTTCTGTGGCTGCTAACGAATAGAGAATGAGAATGTGACGTCACGGTACAAGGCATTACCCATCTGTAATATTTCCACTAGGACCTCTTGTGTTCACAACAATTAGCCCTCACCCATATATAAAGCCCACAACAATAAAACAAGTAGGCCTATAAGGCTACTTAAGTAGACAAGTCTTTAACTTTTATTTTTATTATTTATTTATTTATTTTGTAGCAAGCTATGTCCACAAATGTTTTAGGCAAACTTGATGATCCAGAAATGTGATTTTTGAAGTATTTTGTATGCACGTCCTGCGGTCATATTTTCTAACCTTACGATTGCAGCCCTGTCTTAATAATTTTCTTTCCTTTTTCTCTTCTTTTAGGACAGTTCTGGAGAAAATGGTGATTCTGGGAAACTTAAAAATGAAATGAATGAAGTTGTTGATTACTTTTGTAATTTAAATTATTTGTAAATGAAGCAAAGTCATTTCTGTGTATTGTTTTAGTTGAAACTTGTAAATAAAAGATGAGAAATAGTTCTGAAAATTGTTAATTTTTGCAAAGCAAGTTATAATTTGTAAATGACAGAAATTCTTCTATACATTTATTTTTGCCTCTGAATAACATCTGCAAATGAAAATAAATTGTTCTATACTAAAAGTACTTTTTACAACTAATTACAAAATAACTTCAATTCAACATCAGAAAAACAACATCAAAATTTAACAATACATAAAAATGCATTTTTTTACTTTTTCCCAATCTTTTTTATATACGCTTTCATTCAGCTGAGCAGTGAGACCCTGGTGGAGCTGCTGGACCTGGACGAGCTGCTACAGAGAGCCTGGTGTGGCATTATCTGGGATAGTCTCCAGAGTGTGTATATTTCCACTGTCCAGCACTGGGACGTTCAGCTTTATCCTGCAGTACAGGGGTCTGGTCTGATTTAAGGAAATGAGGAAAGCACTAATTGTGTCGAGCTATGAAAAAGTAATTGGTGGAAGAAATATGAGTTACTTTAGTAAAATACTTTCAGTAACTACTATTAGCACATTGAGGGAAAAATGCAAGCATTTAAAACCTTAACTAAAAGTATTATCCTTCATACTGTAATGTACTTAAGGTATGAAGCGTAAAAGTAGCCTATATGGAATGTATTTCGTTACACTCCACCACTTTGTTATTTTGGAGATGAAACGAATAAAGTTTATTGCTAAGTTGCTACAACTGCGAAGCATATCAAGGCTGCTTCCGAAGCACTCGGACCGGTGTAGCCTACGGAGGACTCTTCTTGTTGCCTAGCAACTTTGTCAGCTGCAGTAGACGAGCGGCAGTAACGTGTGTAAGTGAACTTTTTATATTCAGCTGCATAAAACTAAACGGTTGAAAACCTGTTTAAATATGTTCACCACGGTCCATTTATACACATAATAATCAATAATAGAATAAACAACATAAAATCACATTTTAGTAAGATATAAGTCGACATTTAATCGCTTTATATTTTGTATTTTTTCACGTCATTACAATATTAAAGTAAGTCTTACATTTAAAGTGTAATTCGGTCATTAAAAGTCAAGAGCTAACAATTCAGGCTCCAGTTATTTTCGTTTTCATTAACTAATAACATATATGGCAGCTCTCTTCTCGCACCGTTGCCACGCGACAGGCGCATTTAAAGGTGTAATAGGTGATTGTCTTCAGAAACATTTTTTGTTATGCTGGTTGAAAGTCTCTTCACATTCCGATAGCAATCATAAGTTAAGTGGTCTAAATGTATTCATCTGTATTTATATATTTTGTGGAAGGCGTAGGACCAAGAAATGTTCGTCCGAGCTTTCCTACCTGCCTGTCAACTTATGTATCTGCATACCTCTGCGCACCCTGTTCGCGCAGACAGGACACGTCATCAGCGCGTTCACGCACGCTGTGCAGACAGAGCGAGGATGGCAGGCAAACATCAACAAGCCGATCTTCCTTCCTGATATTGTAGTATTTTTAAAGTTTTCTCACCAGTGAATGACGCATGATGTAGCCCAGCGATTAATCCAGTCCTCGCGCTCTGCATATTTTGAATGTCTCGCTTAGTTAACACACCCATTCAAATAACCAGCTAGTTAGAAGTGAGCTACGTGCATAAACTGTGTTTCGATCGATATGATCCCTACACAGTGTTCATTGCTCCCTCCTCACTGAGCGGGGGAAATACGTTGAAGTTTACTTCACTTCGGAACATGGGCTGGAATTGGGAACCGCTGATGTAGCCTATTGTAGTAATGTTGTCTCTGGTACTCTGGTCTGTGAGTGAGCGTATATGCATTCAGGGGG